TTCTTTCTTTCTTTCTTTCTTTCTTTCTTTCTTTCTTTCTTTCTTTCTTTCTTTCTTTCTTTCTTTCTTTCTTTCTTCCACTCAAACAATTTGATTCTGTAACTAGATTCAAAATAAGGGGAAAGCCCCCACCATATAACAAGAAACAAATACAGTATAAAAATCAAATGGAAAAAAAATGCTACATAACAATTAACAAATACAATATAAGAAAAATAAATTTTAAAAGGAATAAACTTGCCACCTAATAAGAAAGTACAATGTAAGGAAACAAAAAAGGGGGAACTGGAAACAAATGTAATACATAATTACCCATAACAACATGAAGGAGCATGAAGTTCCGATATGCTGTGTAAATGTAGTTTATGTCTAAGTTTCGTTTGTGTGTATTTTGTATGTTTGTAAATAAAATTATTAATATAAAAAAAATAACAACATGGGGATAACTAATATAGACAACTGATCTGCTCATATGTTGCTAATATTGTCAGGGCTGTAGACCCCTGAATAATAATTCCCTTTCTTTGCCTAAATATCTGCTTCCTAAGAAGAAGCATGCAAAGATACGAGAATATTAAATCTTGGCTTGCAGTTCAGGCTACTGTATAAACAGAGGCGTTGTGTTTGATAAACAGGGTGGCAGCAAGCAGATAGGATAAAATTCAACATATTTGTTTGTTCTTGATTGCCTGTGTACACACAAATGTGCACACACCCTCAAAATCAGGCCACAATTCGTCAGCACAGCTGAAGCTTACAGAGCCCTCGCTCTGCTTCCTTAATTTACTTCCTTGATTTCGAATCCTTTTAGAGCAGCGTTTTTGATCGCTTGAAGATGAACGGACTTCAACTCCCAGTTGAGGAATTCTGGGAGTTGAAGTCCACGCCATTTTAGAGCCAATTACGTTGCCGCGATTGAAAAGACACTGCTTTCAAGAAAGAAACATGTTGGCTTTTCTAATGTTGGCTTTTCCCCCTTACCAGAGGGAGCCCCCTTGCGGAGTACTGTGAAGCCATTACCAAGGCAACTCCACTGCGTTGTACGGTAGAAGCCATTTTACGGCAGCACAGTAGAAGCCATTTGAAGGCACAACAGGCTGTATCTTAACAGAACACAAACCCCGAGGGGTGTTAGGGGTGTCCTACCCCTACAGTATTGGTTTCCAGAGAGTAAGTCATCTGTGTACCAAGTTTGGTTGAAATTGCTCGAGGCATTCCAGAGTTATGCTGGAACATACATGCACACAAGCACCCATTTTTATATATATAGATTATGCTGCCCATCTCAACGATTCCAGGCAGCCATCTTGTAACTGCAGGATGGGTGTAGCCATTATACCTTCGAAGTCCAGTCATTAGTAGCTCTTGGGGTCCATCGCAATTGTAAATGGTTGCTAAACGTTTAGCTGTAAGCCAAGGACTAACTAACGTGTAAAAACACTGGCTGAGAGGCACTGGGAGATTTTAATTAACAAAATCATTCTGTTTCCTTATTATATGGTGTGGTGGCCTAGAGGTGGCGCCCTCGCCTCACCATCAGGAGGCTTGTGAGTTCGATCCTAGGTAGAAGCGGATATTTCTCTCTCTTTGGCTCAATGGGAATATATCTGCCAAACAAAACTCCACGCTGGCGACAGTGAGGGCATCCGGCCAGTAAACTAAACTCCCTGTTTAGTTGCCCAGACTCCACCCCGCAAGGGATTATGGGGCCGTTAAAAAGAAGAGGATGATTCTGTTTCCTCATTTTACAACGCAGGTCGTGTACGCATCGAAGCTGGGGCTTCCCTACAGATTGACCGTCTGCGCGCCGAGGATCAGGGCTGGTACGAATGCCGGGTTCTATTCCTCAATCGCCCCAACAACGATGATGAATTTCAGAATGGCACCTGGATCCACCTCATTGTCCATTGTAAGTCTTGAATGTCCTTTTTTTCCCCCTTACCGTGGTCCGTAAGGGAATTAGGTTTATTGAAAAGAAAAGAAAAAATATTAATCGTAATTGAATATACGTTGTACAATGAAAGTGAGGTATTTAGTTATATTAGATGAAAAATCTGTGATTGTAAATGTAATTGAGAATATTGACATAAAAACACCTGTAACCAAACAACACGCTGTATGTAATGGATGAGAATTTTTTTTAATGTTGTGT